AGCGAGTACTTAAACAATTGACAGGAGGAGGGGTGTTCATGAGTTTTCCCCATCCTCAAACCAAAATATGAATGCAAAATAAAAGGTTGAGGCAATTCGAACCGTCTTCAGCCAGAAATGCTAAATGTATAATCCATTTCAGCCTCTTCCTAAGGTTCCTAGAACCATAGAAGCCAATCTTAAAACAGTTTGATTGATTCCACATGATATCAAGAAATGGCTGAATGCTTTAGGTACTGCAGAGGCTATGGTCCATCCAACATACCAGCTGCAGAACTAGATGTGCTTCTAGCAAAACCATTTCAATACAGCTACAACATAAACATCTACCTGACAAAGCGAAAAATTTGCCAAGTATATCCTGTCCACAGAAAGCAGGAAAAATCTATTTACCAACTCATCAGGCTAGTCTCAAACTGTGCTTAAAGCAACACTCTCATCAATTTAATCTACATCGGGACCATTTGTTCTAAGTCCTCTCCACAGCCTAGCTCCAACCATGGACAAAAGAACTGAATTGCGGAGCTGAGATGAGAGTGATTTCACTTGGCACAAAAATATGATGTATTGTGACATCAGGAGTCAATAAGAATCATGTGGAGAATTCTTCACTGGCTGAAATCATACCTACAACAACTTTGGGGGCTAATCAACTCAGCCTCAGGATATTACTCAGAGTTCCACATGACAGTATTTTAAACTCAACTGTCTTCAGCTGCTTCATCAATGACCTTTCTGTCCACTGTAAGGTTAAAAATGAAGAAGTTCACTAATTATTGTAGTGTTCAATTCTATTTTCAACTCCTCAGATAATGAAGTAGCTGTGTCCTCCTGCTGCAAGACATTGAGGTTTTGGGCTGTTAAGTAACAAGAGACACTTTTATTTTATATTGCTTCCTAGGATGTAATTTTCCATCCATTATTGCCCTTGGGAAAATGGCAGTGAACTGCCTTCTTGAACCTCTGCAGTCCAAGTGGTGTACGTCCTCAATGTTGTTAGGAAGGGTTCCAGGTTTTTGACCCAATGAAAGTGAAGAAAAAGCAACATGGTCCCAAGTTAAGGTGGTGTGTGCCTTGGTGGGGAATTATAGTGACAGGTGGAGTTTAACTATCTAAGATTACAAAGAGATCTTGATCATTTGGGTCAATGGGCTGAGGTGTGGCAGATGAAGTTTAATTTGGATAAATGTGAGGTATTGCATTTTGGCAATGCAAACAAGGACAGGACTTGTACAATTAATCATAGGGCCCTGGGTAGTGTTGTAGAAAAGAGAGACCTAGGGGTTCAAGTACATAATTCTTTGAAATTTGTGTCACAAATAGACAGGGTGATCAAGAAGATGTTCAGCACTTATGCCTTCATTGCTCAGACCTTTGAGTATAGCAATTGGCACATCATATTGAGGTTGTACAGGACACTGGTGAGGTCTCTTCTGGAGTACTGTGTGCAGTTCTGGTCACCATGTTATAGGAAGAATATTATTAAACTGGAGAAGTTTCAGAAAATATTTACCAGGATGTTGCCAGGAATGGAGGGTTTGAGATATAAAAATACACTGAAAGACTGGGACTGTTTTCACTGGGAGGTTGAGGGGTGACTTCATTGAGGTTTATAAAATCATAAGGGGCATAGATAAGGCAAATGACAAGGGTCTTCTCCCTAGGGTTGGGTAGTTCAAAACGACGGGGCATATTTTTAAGGTTGAGAGGAGATTTCAAAAGGACATGAGGGGCAACCTTTTTTACACAGAATGGTTTGTGTGTGGAATAAAGTGCCAGAGAAAGTGGTGGCTGCGGGTACAGTTACAACATTTAACAGACATTTGGATAAGTACATGAGTGGGAAAGGTTTGCAGGGATATGGGCCAAGTGCAGGCAAGTGGGCCTTGTTTATTTTGGGAATATGGTCACCGTGGACTAGTTGGACTGAAGGGTCTGTTTCCATGCTGTATGATTCTATAACTACTTTTCTTGATATCATAGTGGAATCCCGCATCACCAAGACATATAAATACTGTGTCCACAAGAGCAGACATAAAGATGTATTTTCTGTGACAAGCAACGTACTTGCTTACTTCCCAAAGCTTTTCCACCATCAACCAGGCACAAGAGGCTGATAAAGGGCTGCTTCCACATCGCAGTATTTGTGACAAACAGGAAATTATTTTATTTTCACTTAAAGTTTTCTGTTCACCTAATTTCACCCATTTTCTTGTTGTTAATTATAGCTAGTCAGCTGTAATTTAATCCACTCCCACAGACCTTTCACCTGAACAGTAGTTATGTTCCAATGAAACATCAGTTTGTTTTTCCTGAATTATTCTGAAATTATCAGTCACATACTTTGAAGAAAATAGATTTGCAATTTTTTCTATTAAGATTTTCTAAGGCTGTAACTACTTGAAGGGACATCTGAGGTGTACAGGATTATGACAATTCTAGAAGAAGCAAACAAGGAAAAGCTTTTTCCAATAGCAGGTGATACAAGGACTAAAGGGCAGATTTGTGGTTTTGACAAGAGATGTAAGGGGGACATAAGGAAGAATCATCTTATTCAATGTGATAATGACCTAGAACCTGCTGCATGAAGATTGGGATGATCAATCATTTCAAATGAAATTTAGATGAGCATTTTTAGGAAATAAATGTGGGAATACAGCAAAGAAATGAGACTGACTGGAGTCCTACCGAGAGCTGTATATAACATTGCCTCGTCATATATAATCACACTATGATTGGATAGATTCTTGAGTTCTATCATTGGAAGTTCAGTCAGAGACTATGGACCAGAAACCAAAAGGTCACCTTTCAAACCAGAGGCTGTTAGAAAATACTCGGTTTTTTAAATTGCAAATCTCCTGAAATAATCATGGGTGAAATAATACATTAAAAAAATACATAGGATTCAGCAGAGATGAATTAAAAACAAAGTGACAGGCCATAACCAGGCGATAATGGGCAGGAAAGTGGACACTTTATCCTGGTTAGAGCCCCATTATAACGATCAGGGTGTGATGACAGTAAAGCTGGCGAGTGAGGCCTGTGCTGATGGTGCAGAGTCTCCCTCCTTTACCTTGACCTTGTATTTCTTCCTGGCAAGGCCCACTTTCATTCCCAGGTAAGCCAACATGATCCAGCTGTAGATAAACACCAGGATCACATAGCCGAAGTGCGGGTGTATGAGTTGGTTCGAGTGGGGCTGAATATTCTGGGTGGGAACGTATTGCATTAGAGACGGTAGGGCCACAAGCGACTGGCAGAGAGGTTCCCCTGGAGGCTCGAACCAACGGCGTCAGAAACCGAGCCCCCGGGGTAAGGGGATGGGGAGGGATGGAGGGGGAATGGGGGTTGGAAGAAGCCGGCCGTCAGCGACCCCTCTCTCTCTGACAGTGGTACTGCAGCTCCTGGAGGACCGATCCCGGCTAACGGGCTTTGGGAGGTGTCAGGTCTGAGGAAGGGGACAGGGACAGCTCTGCCAGTCCAATCCACCCTGAGCGGCTCCACTGAAACATACTCATGGGAGGCACTAAAATAGCTCGGATGCTGATTCTGAAGAAGTCACATATTACACTCGAAACGTTAAATGTTGCTTTTTTTTCTTGGTCTCTCTGCACACATCTGCAGGTTGGCCCCAGCATTCCCTGTTCTTAATGATATGGGACATACTTTCAAAAATTATTTCATAAATACATTTTATACATAAAAACAAAATCTTTGCAAGCAGACATAGTCACAAATGCAGTTCGGTGTTGTGCAGTAGCATATCAAGGAAACAAAAATATTTTGAGTTTGAATCTATCCAAAAATACTAAGGACATCCCTTACAAATACACGACTATATTTACATGTATTTGAGGCACTGAGGGACGTACAGATGAGCAACATAAGAATGTGCACGATGGCGAGAGTGGGTTATTTTTATGCAGATTCATTGCCACGTGAGCCTTTATTTTGTGTAGACGCACAAAAAAAAAACAGAAAAACACGACCCTAATTAAAGGATGGAGAATCATAGGCACTGTTGGCAGAGAGTGAGAATCCATTTAGGGCAGGATTCTCGGGAATTTGACTTTATTGTTGTTATGCGTAGTCACTAACTATTTGCCTCTGTAGTCCGTCTTGGGCAAGGTGGGTGTGCAATCATGTAATGCTAATGCTTGCTCTTTACCTATTATATATCCATTTTTATGTCACCTGTTGCAAACGTAGGTTTTCGTGATTGTTTGTGTATGTCACCACAATAAGGAAGCAGTATTGTTGTTTACTGCTACGTATTGGGTCAACCAGTTAAATTGTTGTTGTTGTCAAATGCTGCGGAAGAGGGACGTGTGGGCCAAGAAAGTGATCGTTGATCAATTCAGCAAGGGAATCGACAGTTATCAGGAGTAGATGAGAATTTGGAATTCGAAACACTATTAGATCAGTCTTTATTTTATTCAGAGTAGGCTCGAAGGGCCGAATAGGCTTCTTCTGCTCCTATTTTGTATGCACTTTATTTTTTTAAAAATAGGAGATCAGTAACCTAAAACATCACTCCCTGGATTTCAGTGTAAAATTCAAATAAAGTTTTTAAAATACAAATGGTGTAATAACATTTTTTGAAATGAAAGAGGCTGTCTGACCAAAAGATTAATAGAAAACCCAAGTTTCGAGCAGAATTTACAGCCAAAGCATTGACTTCCTGGTTCCTTCCAGAATTTTCTGCGTATTTCTAGTTTCAGACGTTCAGCAAGTGCAGCATTTTAGACTCCCCCGCATTCTTTGGTGATTGACAGTACGTTTCACCAATCGGGCGTCGAGTTGCCGGCGGCGGCGCGTGCCACACTGTGACTGACAGCTGTATTAACCAGTAGGAAGAGGGCAGCTCTCTGTTCTATAGGCTACTACTGCGTTCAGTCCCCAAACAAACGAATGGAGACCGCGATCGCTGCGCATTAGCCAATGAGAGGGAGGTGAAGGCGGGTTCGCGGTGACGGTAGGTTATAAAAAGGGCGAGATAGCAGTGTTCGCTGCAGTAAGAAGATGGTGGTTGTAAGTGAGCAGCGGCGTTGCAGCAGTCCAGACTCATCCAAGAGGCAAGCCGGTGATTATGATCAGTGAGTCCTTTTCAGAACACGAAGGAGCCCGAGCATCAAAATGACTTTAAATAGAAAACTTGTTGGGGAGATGTGGGGGTGATCTCATTTCATAAAACGGTTTAAAGTGTCGGTTCTGGGTGTGTCGTAGTTTTGACCAACTGGTGAAATGAGATCGTTTGATTTAGGATCGGGATTAGAACCAGCGATTCTGTTGTGTCGAGTTGTCGGGGTTTGTGGCGGATGAAGGCCATTATTTATTTATTATCAGTTCTGAGGAAGGGTCACCGGACCCGAAACGTTAACTCTTTTTACCTTCACAGATGCTGCCAGACCCGCATGAGCTTTTCCAGCAGCTTTGTTTTTGTGATCGTTATTTAGGTTGCGTCGCCAAATAAAGGGTTGATGTCAATGCGGTTGGTGTCAAAGTGTCCATGGGTTGGGCTGCTGGAGGAGTGGGAGAGAGGGACCAAAGTGTCAGTGGGTTGGGCTGCCGGAGGAGAGAGAGGGGCCAAAGTGTCAGTGGGTTGGGCTGCCGGAGGGGAGAGAGGGGCCAAAGTGTCAGTGGGTTGGGCTGCCGGAGGAGAGAGAGAGAGGGACCAAAGTCAATGTGCATCTTTTTAAGAGTACATTTTAGAGCAATTGTAGAGGTTTTTCAAGCAAGCTTGTGTTTACAGTTTTATATTGCCATAATCAATATGCTTAGCCTGTTGTTTCTTTTGTTAAAGCTACTTTAAATTGTCAACCCTAAACATTTTCATTGTTTTAGTTTTCTGCTGGGAAATGAGATGCTGTGTTTCTGCACAAGTGTTCATACTGGTGAAAGACAAGTCCTGGGACTCATTGTTGATCAGCAGCTCCACCCTCTGGCCAATTGAATTTCTTAAGCAGTGGAGAATTTTCCAGAAAGTGATTAATTTACCATAGGGTGGTGATGTAGCTGAGCAAAATAGGCACTTGCCTTTTTCCTTTAGGTTTTAAGGTAACTACTAATTTCTCAAATGAATAGAATAAAAATGCAATGTAATAGCAGCTTGCATCATATGATGTAAAACATTACAATATGCTTCACCAAAGTAATCTCAGAATACAAAAGCTGAATCGGATAGTGGAGGAGATGATAGGATTTAGGAAATGTGGAGCTGAGATCATTAAAGGCATCGGTTAAAGGAAGGGCAGGGTGTGTATATTGACAATGTCATGAAACTTGAGTAGTTGCTTCTGGTTTCTGATTAAAATAACTCTTCATTTTGAGCCTTTGGTTGATCTAGAGCCAATGAAAATATTACTCGTGAGCAGTCTCAGATGTAACTTAATTTAAAATGGCATGAAGCTTCTGGAAGGGTTTTGGCTTTACTGTGTTAAAATCTTGTTTTGCTCATGTTCTGTTGTTACATTGAATATAATTCCAAACCAAGTATTTTTTGTGTTAACAGGCTAAATGCCAGTGATTTTTCCTGGGAAAAAATGGAAGAGAAATCCAGCTATGGTAAGTCTTATAGTTTTCTTACATGTTAAATTTGTTACGTTAGTTATAATTGAAAATCAGTGAGCCCAGCATTCCATAATGCCTAAGAGACAAACAATGCTTGGAGTTTGGGAATGCTATTATTTTACGTTGTAGACAATCAGTATTGATTTGAGTGAATCATTGGTCATGCAGTGGCTAGGTTTCATTCAGAGTATGAATTTAGTGTTTTTCCACTTCAGGTTAATGTGTGGAACTGCAGTGAGGTATTTGAGAGCTTACCATTATTTAGCATTGCTAATAGAAATGAAAGTGTGTTTGTAACTTACTCATATCAACAGCACAAAAACATGAGTGTGCTTTCAAAAAATACTAATTGCAGTCTCAAAATGTCTCCTGATTATGGAGCAGAGGTTAATGCTGACTGAAGGGGTCGGTTAGTTCATTTGGCTGGATGGTTGGTTTGTGATGCCAGTAGCATGGGTTCAATTCCAACACCATTGAGGCTACCGTGAAGTACACTCCTCAACCCCTCCCCATTCCTGAGGTAGGGTGACCCTTGGGTTAAATTTATCACCAGTCATCTCTCACTAATGAGAGAGCAGCCAGTGGTTTGATAAGACTATGGCAACTTGCCCTAGTTTTTAATGCTGATGGCTGTAACACTGGTCAGCCCTAGTGCATGGAGCTCAAATGTCTGGTATCGTCAATGTAGAGAACTTTGGTTCGACCCCATTTGGAATACTGCATACAGTTCTGGTTGCCACATTACCAAAAGGATGTGGATGCTTTGGAGAGGGTGCAGAGGAGGTTCACCAGGATGTTGCCTGGTATGGAGGGTGCTAGCTATGGAAGAGAAGTTGAGTAGATTAGGATTATTTACATTAGAAAGACGGAGGTTGAGGGAGGACCTGATTGAGGTCTACAAAATCATGAGAGGTATAGACAGGGTGGATAGCAAGAAGCTTTTTCTCAGAGTGGGGGACTCGATTACTAGGGGTCACAACTTCAAGGTGAGAGGGGAAAGGTTTAAGGGAGATATGCATGGAAAGCTCTTTATGCAGAGGGTGGTGGGTGCCTGGAACGCGTTGCCGGTAGAGGTGGGCATGATAGTGTCATTTAAGATGTATCTAGACAGATACATAAATGGGCAGGGAATAGTGGGATACTATCCTTGGAAAACAGGCGACAGGTTTAGATAGAGGATCTGGATCGGTGCAGGCTTGGAGGGCCGAAGGGCCTGTTCTGTGCTGTAATTTTCTTTGTTCTAGATAAATGCACCTGTGAATCACCTGGGCAATGTTTTGGTGTAGTGACATAACATATCACCAAAATATGCAGTACCTGTTAAAAACACTTGCCCACTTTAAAATGCACAACTGGCAAGAAGAATATATTAAAAAGTGGGATTTCATTGTTCATCTAAAACACTGGTGATTGCCTCTGGGTGACTTCAGTCACCAAAAATTGAGGTGGAAAAACATTGGATGTTGCTTTTTAAATGATCACATGTTGAAACTGTCCCATCAGATAAATTTTCTGCCCTTAATGGAGAAGACTAAAATTGAAAATGTTATTGTTATCTACACTGAGTTTAAAATTTTAAAATTTCTTTAATTTTATACTGAAGTTTTAACTTCCAAACTTAGAAGGAAAATGTAGTTTAAAGTTGAATCGCAACATATGAAACTTGTATACAGCTTCTGGAAGGATTACGATGGGTTGGGGAAGGTACGGCAGAGATTTAAAATGGGTTGAGGAGGGTACAGCATAGATTTACAATAATGACGCCCGAGAAGATTGGCAAGTTCCGTGGGCAGTGAAGAGATGTTTCCCGTGGCACGTAGGCCAGTAATTGGAGAACAGAATTATGATCTGTAAACCCTATCTGACTGGTGGAAATAGATTTCATAGAAAATTTCAGCAAATAATTTGATATATGCAGTCTTTAAATTTGAGGGAGAAAAGGTGCGTAGCAATGGAGAAAGTCAGGAAATAGAGTTGAATTATAGAATCCCTACAGTGTGGAAACAGGCTCTTCGACCCAACAAGTCCACACCGACCCTCCGAGCATCCCACCCAGATCCATCCCGCTATAACCCACCTAATCTACACATCCCTGAACACTGGGTAATTTAGCATAGCCAGTCCACCTAACCTGCACATCTTCGGACCATGGGAGGAAACCCACGCAGGCACGGAGAATGTGCAAACTTCACACAGACGGTTTGTGGAATCAAACCTGGGTCCCTGGCGCTGAGAGGCAGCAGTGCTAACCACTGAGCCACCGTGCCTCTTTTAAAGCACTAGCATAGTTGTGGTGTACTGAACAACTACCTTCTTAATTATGTGCTTTGCTACAGTAATTAATACTAGACCCTTAAGTTTGATCTTAATAAAATGGAAAATAGCAACGCATGAAATTGATTTATTCCACCATGTACTAGATTTTATTCTTGTGTAATTGTGTTCAATATGATTAGCAAAAAGTTTGTTTACTTCATTCTAATGTGTTTATTGATCCATTAGGTAAACAGAATTTACAACAAGTGTGTGATAATGTTCTTAAATCGAATTCAAAAACTGAGCAGGTGATGGAGAAGGACATTGAGATGGATTGTGAATCTGATGGATGCAATGCCCAAGAACCGAAAACTGAAAATACATTTGCTGTGGATGAATTGAGACTTATTTCTCCTTGCCAGGGAACGGAAAAGAATCAGAGAATGTCCCGTTCCAGAATGGTTGCTATCAAGAGGTCTAAAGACTCCAGATCGAGTTCTGTATCCTCTTCAAGCAGTTCCCGATCTGGTTCAGTGTCATCTTCAGGCAGCTCCCGATCAAGTTCTGCATGCTCTACAGGCAGCTCCCGGTCAAGTTCAATGTCATCATCTGGTCTTTCCCGTTCGATATCAGTATCATCCTCAGAAAGGTCGCAGTCAAGTTCAGCATCATCAGCAAGCTCCCGATCGAGCTCAATGTTATCTTTAGAGCGGTACGGTTCAAGTTCAGATGATGTCTCTTTCTCTTCAAGAGGCAGATATGTATCACGGAAGAGGAACTACAGAAGATCAAGACGAACCTGTTCAAGGTCCCGGTCTAGAAGCTGGTCACGGTCTTGTTACCGAAGATCCAGATGTCGAATGTCTTACCGGTCACCGCAAAGATACAGGTCTAGATCCAGATATTCTAGGTCATACCGAAGACCAAGATCCAGCTTGAGGTACAGAAGGTCCAGGTCCAGATCGTGGTCTCGGTCCCCATCCAGATTCCGGAGTGGTTGCTATGGCTTTGCATACAGAACACGACCACGATCCCACCAAAGGAGCCGAAGCAGATCGAGGGACAGATCTTTCCACTTAACACAAAAAGGTAGTTGACTTTTTTGAACAGGTGCAGCATGTTTTCAGAAGAATGGGAATATAATAATCTGGTCACAGTATCTCTAAAAAGTGGGTCTCCTAAAATACCGACAAATCCTACGAAACGAGAGCAATTTATAAATGCCATAACGTGCAAACGTTTGAATTTGCAGGGTACTATTGAAGTTAAATAGCATTAGATTGGTCCATTAGCTAATGGCAGTGGATGTTGGAACAGGATTGGTTTGTTTGGCAAATTCGCAAATATTGCAGCATGGCTGTTGCAAAACAATGTACTGTTTGTTGATTTCTAAACAACACTACAGTGTTTATTCTGCCTTTCAGAATTTGGGAGAAATGGCACTCGGTCACGTGACATCTCTAATAAAATAAAGACCTTGGCCAATTGTTTTTGAGTCCTAGGTAATCTACGTGATCTGGTATTGTACTTAGTTGCGGGGCCTCTGACTGCTCATTGTGTGCTGTGTTAGCCAAACGCAGGAAGGTGTTTAATATCTTCAGGGCAGTCAGTTGGTCTGGGGATGTAGCAGCAATATTTATGAATACTACCTCAAATGTCAGTGCTGTTTTCAGTTCTTTTAAATTGTATCTGTTGTGATTTGGTACTGTTATTGCCTGTCAGCACTGTGTTTAATCCAAGTTAAGTTTTCAAAAGCTTGAAGAATTGCAGCCTAAAATATATTTTTTTTTGTTTCAGATAAACAGAAGCTACTTGAAATAGCAAAGGCAAATGCTGATAAATTATTGGGAAAGGGTAGCATCTGCTTGCCTCCTAGTTTGAGGCCTGCCAGTCCTCTCAACAATGAGAGACTTTTTGAAATGAAAACTAACAGCAATGCAGTGAAAGCACTGACCAGAAAGGTGAGTGGTAGACTATTTATGTTTAATAAATTGTTTTAACTGCATGCCTGTGTCAAAGCAAGTGTTTTCTATATAGTTATTTGAGCAGTTCTCACTTGTACAATGAATTGATCTTTTTAAAGTGGCTGTTGTCAATTTACCCACGTTGTGACATTCTTGCCGATTGATGTTCCTGCGGTGAGATGGAATACATTGTGGGTTGTAACCCTTTTCAACTCAACCATTGTTGCAATGGTTTAATATCTAAATTACTGCTTGATAAAGAGACCACTTTTATTCACACAACTGTGCAAGAAATTGCCACGTGAGCTATTCTTAAAAAGCAAAAGCAGAAATTATACCATGCTGTATGGAAAAGAAACAATTTACACTTGCATTGTGCTTTGTGACTTCAGGTTTCCCAACGGTTTTATAGCTAATTAGTACTTTGTGTACCTTTTTGTAATGTACAGTAATCATTAAAGTCTGTAGCTTGTCAACGTCATTCAAACATTTCCCATATATAAAAACTAAAGTTGGTTTGCGTGACTTGATTTATTTCTGTTTTATAGAAGCCTTGAAATGGACTGCACTTCTTGAAGATATGAGGTGGTATCTTTGTATCTGCGTGTGTGCAGTGTTTGGGGGCAGCTAGGCCAGTATAAAATGATTAAAGGACAATTGGCTTTCAGATATTCCATGTTATAAATGAAACCGGGGCATCATATCACCACTACCAAATATTAAGTGGGAAAGTTGCTTAGGATTTTTGTGTATTGTTAGTACATTAGTTTTTGAGGTTGTAGACTTGCTCGCTGAGCTGCTGTTTGATTGCAGACGTTTCGTCACCCTGCGAGGTAACATTGTCAGTGTGCCTCCAGTGAAGTGTTGCTGTTCTGTCCCACTTGTTTATATGTTTTGGTCTGCTGGGGTGGTTGACATCGTTCCGATTTTGTTTTTCAGTGGTTTGTATATCACAATCTGCCGTTACCTTCACAACACCACAAAAGACTCAACATGGCCAGAAACACTAGTCACCCTACCATACGTCGGAGCCATATCAGGTGACCACAAGACTACTGAGACCCCTCGGTATCAGTAGTGCACAAACCAACAACCACCCTACAACAGCTACTGATGAACATAAAGGATCCCATACCCACAACCAGTAAAACCAACGTAATATACAAAATACCAAGCGAGGATTGTGAGAAACATTGCATAGGCCAAACTGTGAGAAAATTGGCTGTAAAGATACATGAACACCAACTAGCCACCAAGAGACATGAGCAGTTCTCACTAGTCTCTGTATACATGGACAAAGAATGACACAATTCAACTAGGACAACACATCCTTAATAACACAAGCCAAACAGACATGCCAGGGAACTCCTGAAGGACTGGAATTCCAACTGGAACTCCATCAACAAACACATTGAACTGGACCTGCTATACAAATCACTGAAAAACAAAACCAGAAGTGATGCCAACCACTCAAGCAAATCAAGCATGTAGGTAACAAGCAAGATTGAACATGAATGCTTCAGCAGAGGCACACTGACGATGTTACCTTGCAAGGTGACGAAACATCTGCAGTCAAACACACCGGTTCGGTGAGCAAGTCTACAATCTCATGCACAACACGAGCTACAAATCTTCTCAAAAACTTTAAACATTAGTTTTTGTTACATTTCCTGTGACTAAGAGATGAGCTATTTGGCTCTGCTCCTGGGTAACCCTATAATTAGTTACCTGCCCACCATTAATATGTGGAAGGATAAACCAGTGTACATAAACTACTTTTACTGCTCCTCCTGTTTTTTGTTTATTGGGTCAAGGAGCTTCGTGATCTGTCAAGCCAGAAGTATGGTCAAATGGGCAACTAAGGAAAATGTGGTAAGCTAGGTCTCTGTCTTGCCACTAAGAAGACAAGGCAGCACAGTATGTTGTTCTTTAATATATTGTATTGCCTCTTATAAAAGGAAATTTTTCCTGATGTATCATTATTCTGACGTCCATGGTATTTAGTCCAGTATGTTGATGGTGATATCAGCAGGTGCATCATTTCTTCACGACCAGTATTTTCAGAATCATTATTGTTTAGAAATATTGTCAGAATTTTTTTTAACGGAAATGTAACTAACTACATAGAATACAAAGCGCAGAAATGGTGATTCTCCCCAAATAGTCTGTGGTTGTTCATAGTCCACGAGTCTTCTGCAGTTCTATTTACCTCATGTCTGCCTTTCAACATAATCTTATGTTCCCTTTTTTCTTATGTACTCATCTAGTTTATTTTTGGAATCTGTTTGAGGTTGACCACTTGTAATAATTTCCACATTCTAGACACACTGCCATACAAGATCTCTCCTTTTTCTATTGAATGCATTCATTCACAAGCAAAAATGCCCTCTATCCTGTCCAAGCTTTTCATTGTTTTAAAAACCTTTTATAAAGTCACTTTTCTTCTAAAAATAAAATCCTTAAATCTTTCTTGCACCATTCTTGAATATATCTTTCACACTTCAGTTTGTGTCCTTTTATCGTGTAGGGTCTCAGATGGTACACCATACTGTCCCTCATGTGGCCTGAACGGGATCCTGTACAAACTTAACGTTACTTCATTACTTTCAATTATGTACCTTTAGAAATTGATCCCAGCATTTTAATTGTTTTACTGATATGCATGGCTGCTTTCGATTGCTCACCTGTATCTCTAGATCTGTTTAGGCTTCTACCCTATTCAATTTCTTATTTTCTAAGGTGATGGGTTTTTTAATATCAGTGTACAGCTCCTCTTTTGCCACTTATTTGTGCAGTTTACAAGTTTTCTGATGTATCCATATATTTAGCATTCTTCCTGTTTATGCCCTCCAGTTTGGAATTATCCCAAATTTCAATATTTACTTTCTCAAGTACATTGTTTGTTATGAATAATAATGGACCCATCTTTTGTGGAGCATCACCTTTTTCTGCTGTGGTGTAACCTGAATAATACAGTTTTTTTCTTACTCTTGTTTTCTATTTTTAGCCAATTTTCTATTCATCCACCAGTTTATTTCATGATTCCACCTGCTCCCTGGCCTTTGTTACAAGCCTAACTGAGTGGTACCTTATCAAAGGTATTTTGATTCCTGGGAAATATTAAAGAAATGCCTGATTTTGTTTAAGTACTGTAATAGAATCTCAAGTGTTGAGTATTCCATAAATATATACCAAATCAATAAAGCCCAGTTTAATTTAAAATAGATTTGCAGTGTATTTGCAATGGATGCCCAGATAATTTAAGATGTTGTGCACTATTATCAATGGTTCAAGTCACCCAAGTAACCTCGAATACCAAAATATTCTCCAGCAGATGAAGTTTGTTTCAAAATGTTGGCATCATTGTGGCTATGTTCAAATGGAGCCCAGACAGTCTGTCTTTTAAGGGGATTAGGATTGCCTGTCTCCTTGTTCTGAGCAGGTCTGTGCCCACAGTTTTATACTAGATTGACAATTTAATTTTGGCAACATGTAATCTGATGAAAGTGGAAAGGTTTTGAGTTGTCAGTGTTCTTTCATGGTTGAGATGGCGATGTAGTGAGGAGGGGACTTCAGTTTCAATGTGTCCATGTTGCACTTGACCTTGGAGTGCTTGGTCTGATACTGGGTCCAAAAGCATTTGGCGCTCACTTGGTGGAGGAGTGCAAAACAATATGACTCTACAATGCTTTATGCTATAATTCTTTACCCGACAGAATTTACTTCACAAACTAATCCCTATGGACTAGATCAGAGTTAAAAGTATTAAATTTTCCAAATCAGGACTAATGTGTTTGCGTCAGTTCCTTTGTGCATTGCAATGTCTCAAGTTGATCAATATTATACTTTGACTTTCTTTGTAATGTGAGAAATCATATTGCAAATTCACTTCCTCCTGACGCTTTACTAGATGCTGCTTTTGGAGTCAGTATTGATCATGCTTTACAGCTTTGCTCTAGGATTTTCTTGTCCTCATAACTTATTCACTGTGTTCCAGGAAGTTTTGAATATCAGATCTTTGCCGAAGAAGAGACCAACAGTTTTTGAAGATAAGTTTATTGGCTTTTATAGCCTAGAAAATATACCTTATCAACAGCTGCATACAGTTCTACATTTGTAGTAGAGATTAACATGTTATTGAAAATGCTCAGAAGCATTTTGAGCTCTGAAGTTGAAGTTGTCATTGAAATGACAAACATTCATTGGGAATTCACATTGATCTGACCCATTGATTATATTGAAGGTAGTCAATACCTATTCAGTTTGATCAGTGGATCAGATATTTTGGAATTTTTATCATTCTAAGTCTCATTCTTGTAACCTTGGGTCAGCATGATTTAAGGTTTGATGCCCTCTATACTGTTAATTGTTTTGGTGAAATCTTACAGAACGAGTGTCAAGCCAGAAGCAACAGTAGCAACTTTACTGCAAATTCTACCACATCAGGTAGAACAGTAGTGTCATTTATTACTCAAAACCCAATGCTTTAATGTTGGATCTGTCCAACCAGTGCTAAAAATGCTTCATTCAGAAGGGACTGCCTGATGTGGGTCAAAGTATAATATGTTGGCCACATTTAAGATTAACCTGTAGATTTTCTGTATTTTTGTGCAGGAATACAAAAAAGAAGCTGAAGATGATGAACCACTTCAGAAATTAACCAGTGCCTCTTCAAGAATTGAAACAAACCACTGGATAGCTTTCAGTGTTAAAGTAAGTAATAGATGATAAAATGTTTACTGCATTATTTCCCTCTTGGCCATCCTTTAAATTTAGTGTTTGTAAATTCTTGCCAAAGGAAATGTGTATAGCTGAAGTTTGCAGCACCTTGCCAAGTACAGTCTGTAGCTGTTCTTCCTGCTTTGATGTTACACTAGCGTGCTATCTGCTGCTTTGTTTACCAGTTTTTTTATTGGTTTCCATCCTGTGAACATTTTTGATTATGCATTAGTACATTATAGTGTGACTGATCAACTAACGTTGATGCAAAACTGCCTTGTTGAGATGGCTTCAAACTTGTACCATGCTTGCTACTGTGACATAATATATAACTTGCTGAAATACCAACCTACAATCCAAAGATAGTAGGAACTGCAGATGCTGGAGAATCTGAGATAACAAGGTGTGTAGAGCTGGATGAACACAGCAGGCCAAGCAGCATCAGAGGAGGAGGAAGGCTGACATTTCGGGCCTAGACCCTTCTCAAGAAGGGTCAGCTTCCCTGCTCCTCTGATGCTGCTTGGCCTGCTGTGTTCATCCAGCTCTACACCTTGTTATCTCTTAACCTACAATCCAATTCAGGTTACAATTGACCTGAAATAATGCTGGCATACTCATGCCCTTGTGAATTTAAATTATTATTCAGTCAATATCTGTAATGCTAAGCTAAATTTTTGCAGTTCTAGTTGCTTTTGGCAACTACTACAAATATGTTTATTCTTTTGCAGAATACAGTGGCAAAACCATTGAATCAAAAAACAGCAAACACTTCTAGAGAGTCTCCTGAACACAAGCGGAAAGGAAGCCCATATGGACAGTGGGTACTGGTACATAATGGCCGCAAGAACACTGATAAAACGAAGACTTGTTGAGCACCTTTTTAAAATGTTTAAAAATATATATTTTTGTATATAAGACCAATTATTCTGATCCTGAAAGAAATTTAGTTGTGCAGAATATTGTGATAACACTCCGCTTTGTGAATCATGTACCATTAGCTTTAGCTTAATCCTAAGTTTTCTAGCTTTTGTGAAAGTTAACATAACTGGACTAACCTTCATGAGTGGATCAATGTATATAGCAGTTGTGTGGACAGATGTTTAGGTTGTGACAGTTACATGCCCAGTGAAATGCTATATTTCTGAAATAAGTTGCTGTTTTGCAGGTAAGATACTGGCGATTTTACCCAAGATTTCAGGTGGGACTTTATATTGTTTTTGCAAAAAATACTTTCTTTTGTAGATATTCACTGTTTTCCAAAATTCAATAAAGGTAATTTGTGAATTTAAAGGTAATTTGTGAATTTAAATTGTT